GTTTGCTACTTGCGTGTGGCCGAGGCGGCAGTGCAGGCGGGGCAATCAATGGCTTCCCTTGCGCTTCTGCGGGGCGACCGCGCTGGCTGCCTGCGGATTTCTCAACTGGGCTTCCCCAGGCCTCGAGGACCTTGGGCTGTGACTCGCCCCCTCAGCTGCGGTTCGCACGCAGTTGGTGCACACAGGGCTGCAAGAGCCACGGTGACGGCCAGGTGCACACCACGGCTGCAAAGAGCCACGGTCACGCAGTGCCAACAGGGCTTGCAACGAGCCCCACGGTCAATGCCAGGGCACACAGGGCTGCAAGAGCCCCACGGTCACGCCAGGTGCACACAGGGCTGCAAGAGCCCCACGGTCACGCCAGGTGCACACAGGGCTGCAAGAGCCCCACGGTGCTCCTCACGCGGCCGCAGTCCTCCAGTTCAGGACAGCTGGGCTCCCCTGGGAGCTGCCGGGACCCTCAGCTCCTCCAGCCAGGGCCACTGCCTTGGTGCCAGGGCTTCTGGGGTGCTCTGCCACATGAGGGCGGGGACAGGGAGCCCCCAGCATCGGTCTTGCCTGAGTTCCCCGCCTGCCCGGGGCTGATGCCCTCCCTTTCCGCCCGCAGGAGCTACGGAGAGCTCACTAACTGCACTGGCCTGGCGGCGGGGAAGCTGGGCTGCTTCTGGCCCAACGCGGAAGTGGACAAGTTCTTCATCGCTGTCCACCAGCGCTACTTCCGGAGCTGCCCCGTCTCCGGCAGGGCCGTGCAGGACCCGCCCCACAGCGTCCTCTGCCCCTTCATCGTGGTCCCCATCCTGGTGACCCTGCTGGTGACGGCGCTGGTGGTCTGGAGGAGCAAGCGCACCGAGGGCATCGTGTAGGGGCGGCCAGGGCTGCCCTAGCTGCGCTCAGGCTGCAGGGCACGACGCGGAGGGCGTGGCGGGCCGGCGATGGCCCAGCAGGCCCGAGTCCCCTCTTCCAGCCAAGAAGAGCTGGCAGGTCGTGGCCCCTGGCAGTCGTGGCTCAGGCATCCGCCTTGCCGCACCCCAGCTGGTTCACCTCTGCAAAGGGCCCCGGCCCCCCGCACTACCCCAGCATGCCAGACCGCTCACCCCGCAGACGCGTTTGTGGACGAGTAGTATGTGAATAAAACGATGTTCGTGAACGTGGGCAGCGTCGTTGCTTCTGGGTGTCTGTCACTGCGAGTGGAAGGGAGGAGGAGCCCGAGCCCCTGCAGGTCCCGTCCTCTGGCAGGTCCCGTCCTCTGGCAGGACCCGCGGGCGCTAAGTCACTGAAGCTGCTCCCACGGTCTGGCACCCCCACCGCCCCACCGTCTGGAGCCACCCGCTCAGGGCGCTGAGGGCCGGCCTGGCAGCCCGCGGGGGCAGGTGCTCTTCCCTGTCTGTCCCCAGCTCAGTCCTCTGCACCTCATGCCCCAGCCCCTGCCGTGATTGCTGCCACGCCCCTACCCACACTGCTTCCTGAGCCCCCGCTTGTAGCTGGGCTTCAGAAGGTTCTGGATCCCCAAAAGGAACCCCCCCAGGTCCTTCCGGATGTCCTCTGAGTTCAGACCCCTCCTCAGGCCCCTGCAGCCCCCAGGCTGCCCCCAGGACCAGTCCCTTCTCCAGACGCCTGGCCGGGTGTCCACCCCCACCCCAGGGGCCGGCCCTCCCTCTGCCCCGCGGGACAGCCCCCTGCGAACCCGGCAGCCCGGTGCCGGATGCCATGAGCTTGTGCACAACTGTTCTGCTTTCGCACACACGGCCACATGGGGTCACCCGCCACTCAGCCCCGGCCAGACGCCCCACCCCCTCAGGGAGGGCCCTGGTGATTGCCAGGGAGGGTGTCGTCGTCCCTGCCCCCGTCTCCTCCAGCAGCTGCCCCACAAGAGTGTGCCCTCCACGGGCAGCCGGGCCCCACCCCAGCCAGTGCAGACGGGCAGGCAGCACAGTCTGCGGGGCCACCGCTGGCCTAGCGGACCTGGGGTCCCCTCTGGGCGGTTCAGTGTGGTGTGGGCTATCTCCCCGAGACAAGCCCCACACCCAGGCCTTGCCCAAGTGTCACGAGCTGACCTTTCCTGAGAGGCCCCATCAGGTGACAGGAGAAGTGGGGGGCGGGGGAAGCTCCTCAGGGGACCTTGACCCAGGGGAGGTGGGGGCCCTCCAGCCACCCTGGGGGCCAGGCCACAGCAGGGGGGCTGGGCAGGCCTGGGAGCTTCAGAGGGGCCCCTCCCCTGGGTCAAGGTCACCTGAAGAGCAGGGTGCGTGTGTGCATGTGTGTGTGTGTGCACACGTGCAGAAACAGAAACATTCAAATAGGAGTAGTCCCTCCCATGTTATTGCATTATGGGATGGTCACAGCATGGGTTTTCGTTGGTTAAAGGCACGTCTGCTCTGCTTCTGGCCAGGCACGGGGTGGGCTATACTTTTTGGAAACCACTCTCCTGCCACTCTCTTTTCTACGTGGCCACTCAAATCTGCTGTACCATGGACCTCAGATTAGGTACAGAAGGATTCCAGTTTGGATTAAGGAGAGTCACCTTTTCCAGCACGCAGGGACACTTGTCCTTCACCTCAGTGCCCATGGCCCTAAGGACCCTTGACCCGTTAAAAGGACACAGACTAAGGGAAATTGGACACTAAGATTCAGAGGATGGTTTGAAATCGAAGAATGTGTTTTCAGAGCAGTCTAACCTAAAATGTCTAATCTAACATTTTCTCCCAACTTCAGAATGTCGACTATTCTGGAAAAACAACCATGTGGCTATTTTATGACTTGGGAAAGTGTGTTTACTGGCATCAGATCCTTTGAAGAAATAAACCTGACAGAGAAGACCAGGCTTAGCCTCAGAGATGAGACCACGTCTTCCAAACTGTCTGCCTTCCCCACGCCCATCTCTCTGCCTCCATTTCCTCATCCACAAAATGGGGACAATAATAGCACCTTCCTCAAAGGGTACTGTGTTCATTAAGTGAAATGGGTTACTCTGGGTTTTCAGAACGTAGATGCCAGGATGGGACCACAGGTGCAGGCAGGTGTGAGGGCACCTCCCGTTACAGTTAGGAGCCGGGGAGGGAGGGCTGGGGGGGCCCGACCCAGGCTGCCATGTGGTCCCCGTTCAGCATAGCCATGGGGAAGTCCTTGTGCCAAAGCCATCCGACAAAGGAGTGGGGTAGGGGAGCGGGCCTGCCTTCATCCCATCCCAACCCAGCCTCTGGGGACGGCCCATGTGACATGTGGCCCCGTCATAAAGCCGTGATGGATTTCAGAGCTGGCATCCGGGGCCCTCGGTCAGCTCTGCGGACTTAGATGAAAGTAGGGTGTTTGCAGATGTGACTAGTTAAGTTAAAATGAGATCACACTGGATTGGGTGGCCCCCAATCCAATATCACCGGTGTCCTTCTAAGAAGAGAAGACAGCTGAGATCGGGGTGACACAGTGAAGAGCCTAAGAGTGCCAAGGGACGTCAGCCACCAACGGGGACAGCGGGGGACAAGGAAGGGTCCTCCCGTAGAGCTTTGGAGGGGCGTGGTGTCCTCAGGGCCGCCTCCCGAAATCACAGCACATACTAGGTGCTCAGTGCCTTACAGACAGACCAAGCAGTGCACAGTGTCATTGCTTTTAAATTATCCAAGCTAATGGAGAGAGCAGAGGGATCACTAATTTTTACTATTTAGATTTGAGTTGCACGTGTGTGTTTGCAGGCACATTTGCATATATGGGTACCTGATCTGGAAGTTTCCCTCAAGTGAAGTAGTTCTGCTATGCAGGTTTAGGAGGAGCAAGAGAGCTTTCGGGATTCCCTCTTCCCTGTCATGTCACGACAGTCGGCGGGTGAGGTCAGCGGTCATGCCAGCCATGCCTGGGACGCAGGCAAAGCGCCACCCCAGCCCGGGTGTTCTGTCCAGGCCGGGCTCGCGGGCAAATATTTGCTCGTCACAGGGCTGAGGGCCAAGAACAGATGCCAGCAAATAAGGTGGTCAACGAGAGTGTGCGCAAAGGCACCGTCCTTGTTTGGCCTTCCCTGATGGGACAGGGACAGGGAGGCCCACGGCGGGGAGCCTGGAGTTTCTGCCAAGCTAACTGGAAAAAACAAGGACAGTTTTAATTTGAAAAATAAGATTGATTCGCTGTGTTTATATCCTGAGCTGGAGAAATACTCCCTTCTCCAGAGCTTTGTCATGGAAATCTATAGAAAAAAAAAATCAGTTAGAAGTCAAAGAGCCCCCAAAAGCCAAGGAAAATGGGGAGTTTAACTTGGGAAGTGGAATTGGCCAAGCATGTTGCTGCCCCCAGACCCGCTGCTATATGTGAGTTCCAGGGATAAAGGCGTCCAGAGGCCGGGCTTCCTGCAAAGCGAGAGGCAGCCCTGAACCCAGGCGGCCTTCGCGGCTAGAACAGCCCTGCTGGACGGCAGCCAGGCAGGTGCGGGCAGCCTGGGACGGGGGGACCGGGCAGGTGCTGCCAGGCGCACCTGGGACGGGAAACGTGTCAGTCCTGCTGGAGAAAAGACCCCGAGTCCCCCGGAAATGGAATCTGCCTGTCGTTCATCAAAACTGAACATTGTCCAGTTTCCCTGCAGGACAAGTTAACAGTATGTTCTGAGAGGCTTAACATGTTTGTTCCCAGGGAGTTCCCCTCTAGGAATTTATCCCAAGGACGTGAAAAGGGACTTGCAGGGAAAGAGCTTCACCCGCTGTTACTAGAAGAGCAGGAGGGCGGAAAGAGCCTCAGAGCCCCAAACTGGAGGACGGTTCAGCCAGATCAAATCCAGATGACACGGAGCCAAAGTCTCCTAAGATCGAGAACGTGGGAAAGTTTCTCACAGTATAGAGTTAATTGGAAACGGCAGATTGTGAAACAGGAAAGCGAGATGGTCTCAGAGTGTGTGCGTGTCTGTGTGTGTGCGCGCGTGTGTGTGTGTGTGTGTGTGTGTGTGCGTGCACACGCGTGCGCGTGTACAGGTTCCCAGGCCACATGGACCTGCGGGAAGAGCGAACGATTCGGCGCACAGACGCGGCAACCACACACTGCCGTTTGGATCTGGCAGCCACATCCCAGTTGCCGGGTGTCACTTCCCGGGAACGGTGGCCATTCGATGACGTGGGTAGGAGTCCCGGCGTCAGGCTCACCAGGTTCTGAGCCCCGACTGGGAGCCCTTTCCCGCCGTGTGACGCTGAGCAGCGTCAGCTCTCTGATAATCTCACGTGCAGGGGAAAGACGGCCTGCATGGGTCACCTGCCCTGTCCCAGGGACGGTGTTTGAGCCCCAGAGAGCAGGTAAGTGCCGGGGGATCCACGTGTTTCCGGGCGGTGACGGTGACGGCACGTGCACGAGAGCACGCGTCGCTGGCAGCTTCTCGGAGTGAGAGGTTTTGAGACACCTTTCTCCGTCTTGTGACCATCACTGCCCTTTGGCTCCTCTTAGAACAGATTTAAGAAAGACCTGCCGGGCTTTTCAAGGTCATTTTTGGAGGTGAACTTGGATCTGGCTTTGTTTTTCCCTTCCCCGGACTGTGCTGAGACGGGCCGGGAGGTGCCCGTCTTTACCTGGGTCACGGGAACGTGCCGGGGCAGAGGCAGCGGCAGGCAGAGGGCAGCCCCAGGCAGAGCGCCGTGTGGCCCTCACAACCCTCCCTCCTTGTCACCCACCCCAGGCACAGCCCCCGGGCCTGGGGACAGCCAAGTGGGGCTCCTCCCCGCAAGTGAATCCCCTTCCCGGCCGACACACTGGCAAGAGTCGGGGTGAGCTGGGAACAAGAAGGGGTGTCCTTTCTTAGCAAGACTGTTTTCCGGGAGCGGGGCTGGGGGCAGGCGGGGGTGCCCAGAGGTGGCATGTGTCCATAGCAGGTGGCAGCTGCTTCCCATCCTCAGTGCAGCCTGTCACGATGCCACTCGCAGCCAACACCTGCCCACCCCCAAGGTCACACCAGGATGCCACGCAGCCCCTCACACTGGCAGCTCTTCCTGCAAGAAGCGGTTCTACATTAACAAGCAGTTCTATGTAGCATAGTCATCACATGTTCTTTTTTTTTGAAACAGAATCTCACTCTGTCGTTCCAGGTAGAGTGCAGGGACATCATCATAGCTCACAGCAACCTCAAACTCTTGGGCTCAAGCTATTATCCTGCCTCAGCCTCCCGAGTAGCTGGGACTACAGGCATGCGCCA